ACACACACACACACACACACACACACACACAATGTAACCAGGAGTTGAAGCCAACAAGCCATGTACACACACACACTGCCATCTACACACACACACACACACACACACTGTAACCAGGATAAAGGCGAACTGGGAACCTTCCATGTTTTCCCCCAAAAGAATACTAAAAGGGGGAGGGGGCAGATTACGGTCAAGAAAACTCTCTGGGACAGTTATGCTTTGTTTGCCATAAGTCCAGGCCAGTCAGAAAGGACAACAACAGCAAGAGTGGCTCTTTAAGCCCGCCCAGGGAAAAGAGAAAGTGGAAGGAGTGGACTACATTTCCCAGAAGGCGGCGCGCAGGGGGCACCCCCGCCGATTGGCTGCGCACCGGAACGCTCCCGCCGATTGGCTGCGCGGACCCCGCCCCACGCCGACCCAGGGCGCTGAGTCCCGGGATAGTGCGCTCGAGAAGCCGGCTGCTCCAGGAAGGCTCACCCCCGGCGAGTAGGCTAAATGGCGTTGCGGCCTGTGTCCCAGAAGCTGTGGAGGGTCCTGGGGACTGGCGTCCGGAGCTGCAGCTCAGGGGCTCCGGTGACGCAGCCTCGTCCAGGGGAGTCCTCCCAGCCTGCAGTGGAGGTGAGCCCGCCCGCACCCATACCTATCAGGAAGGGGCTCCCTCGCTCTGGGCAGCACCCGGCCCATCCTGGGTGGCAGTCTATGGAAGGGGCCCGTTGGCGCTAGACGCTCTCATGAAACTGCCCCATCTCACCAGCTACCGACTCTAGCGGAAGGGGCTCCCTGCCCACCCAGCCTTGCAGGCTCCTTCCAGGTTGAGTGCCTGCTAGACGTGGGCTGGTGGCACCAGGGCATTGGGTCCAATGAGGTGTGATTAGTATCCCCTGTGCGCCGCCCACACCCAGCCACTTCTTAATCCCTTTCCTCCCTGCCCCCCGCGTGGAAGTGTCGGTGTGATCAGGTGTCTGTGACACTGCTTCACGGTGTGACACTGACTAAAAGTGTCACCGTGGGGCCACCAACTGTCAGTAGTCACCTCTGTGGTCACAGGACTCTGACCCGCCCTTGCCTGCCTGTTTCCATCTTTTCCCATGGGAGGGTTCAGGTCAGCCTCCTTCTGGACCAGAACTGAGCCAGACCAGGGCCCTTCCACGTTGGGGGGGCAGGGTCTCATTAGGGGTTGAGGGGTTGCTTCCTCTACCTTCGGCAAAGCCCCCTCCTCCCCTCAGTGTCCTCATTGAGGTTCACCTTCGCTGCGCTTTTGTCAGCGTGGCCAGGGAATCATTATGGAGAGAAGCATCTCACTTTATTTGGGGAAACTTCTTTTCCCAGCCTCTCTAGTGGCTTTCTGCGCCCCACCCCACCCCATCTCCCAGGACGACTGGGCTTCCCATCTAGGGGACCATCAGCTCATAGCTCCTCGCATCTTTTATTGTTCAGAAAGGAGGAGGGCTTCAACCTGACTTGCATCCCCTAAACCCAAGCCCTTCTGAGAGCAGGCCCTCTTTGGGGGAAGAGCAGAGGTTTTTTGTCACCAGTATCCCGAGCTCCTCAACTTCTTTGTGGTGGGGGAAAGTAAAGATGATGAGAGGTCTTTAAAGATTTCAAGAAAAATGTGTGTGCCCCACCCCCCGCAATTTCATTTGAAGCTTTCATGAGAGGACCCCTGTGTTCGGTGACTTCATGCGTGGTCCCATGTAGTCCACACACAGTAAGACCCCCGGGGAGGAGTTGTTGTTATCAAGTGAGCCGATTCCGAGGTTTCCCAGGCCTTTCCAAAGCAGATGATCCAGCGCTTCTCGGCATGTTCCCACAGCTGCTCCTTTGGCTAAGGGTTCAGCACTTAACCCTTTACACTACTCAGGGCTCCGGCGATATAGGTAAGATCGGCATTTTCAGGTGGAAACATTGCAGCTCACCAGAGTGAAGTCACTTCATTCAAGCCCCAGAGCTATAAAGTGAGGGAGCAGGGACTCAAACCCCAACCCCAGGACCTTGCTCAGGTCTCCTTCCCCAGAGGAATATAAGAGAGGCTGCTTCTGCCCTTGAAGAAAGAAAGAGGAGGGTGTGGACTTGGGCAGGGCCCTTCACATCTCCGCGTCTTTAGTTTCTTCCTCTAAAATGGGAACCGTAGTGCCCGCTTTAACAGTGGGGTGAGAAGCGTTAACTAGCCGTGCCTTGGAACAAACAGCCCAGAACAGAGGACATGGCTGTGTGGTGTCAGTGCTGGTCTGAGTCCATATCTTTGCCACCACTGGCCCCAGTGGGGTCCTGTCCATCCTTTCCCATTGGACACTTAGAACGGCCATTCTGTTAACTGTGTGATCACATGTATCTCCCCCACCCCCCCAATAGGATTTTCTTTAGCAGATAGGGGATCCTGAGAGCTGGCTGCTTCCAGGCCTTTCCAAGTATTTCCCTGCAGGACTTCTTCCAGCAGTGCCACCGGCAGGCTGATCTTTGTCTTGTCTTTGTTTGCAGTCCAACTGGGGAGTAGGGGGTGAGTGGCGGGCAGGCTCTCACTCACTCTGCCCACCCCCCTTGGGGTTAGGATGGCAACCTCAGACGGGAGAGGGGCCAAGAGAAGTGTTTCAGAAAGTTGGTGGAGAAATGGAATTCCAAGATGATGGAATCTTTCCAGGAACTTTTTGTAGCACTCCAGTGTGTTCAGCAGAGCCACGGAGCTTGGCTGTGGGCAGAACCTAGGGGTGTGGGAGGGGATTCTCTTCTTTCCTCCGCGCAGCGTCCCTGTCCCATGCTGGAGGGCTCCTCGGGCTGACTTGAGATGGGAGGTGTTTGCAGGGGCAGACTGCAGAGCCACTGCGTGGGTGTCAGGATGTGAGAAACAGGCAAGGCGTGGGGTGGGAGAGGGAGAGGGAGCTGAGATGTGCAGTGTGTTGGGACAGGGGGAAGGGAGCCTGGGCTAAGGCCCAGGAGAGGCTGAGTGTCTCTGACAGCTGGGGAGGTAAGGTGGTGGCCGGTGGCTAAGTGGGACAGTGGGTGGGGGGCACAGCAACCCACAGGGTGTCTCCATTGAGTTACCTGGGTCGTCTGGAGGATCTACCCTAGCAGGGGAGCACTCTTCCTTCCTTCCTTCCTTCCTTCCTTCCTTCCTTCCTTCCTTCCTTCCTTCCTTCCTTCCTTTCTCCTCCCTCCCTTTCTTTTTCTTTCTTGACCTCAGGGCTGCCATGAGGCCCCGGGCCTGCCGGGGTAGGGGAGAAACTCGCTCTGGATGAAGCAAAAGCACCTGGGAGCTCAAGGGCCAGAAAGCTGAACCCAGGAGTGGGGTTTCCTAGGGAGGAGACAATGCCACAGAAGGGAGGAGGAGCACAGCTCTGGCAGTGGGCAAGAGATTCATCGGGGTCCAGCTTGACTCCTAGCCGGCACGGCTCATCACGGGCTCTTTCTGGGACATGGTACTGAAGTCTGACATAGGGCCGGAGTCTGGGAGAAGGGAGACAAGCTGGGCCGGGGGCTAGGCTGGGCTAGAGGTGGATTCTGTCTGCTTAAGGGGCCCCTGGTAGACATCATACCAAACAGCAGGTGATCTGGGGCCCGGGTATTTGAGTTTGGGATGTGTTCCTTTTCTCCTGGATGACGATGCTGCTCCCTCCACCCTAGAGCTATTTGAATGCTGGCCTTTACCATAGTAACCACTCTGGGAAGGTCCTGTTAGGGGAGGGCTCCCCCATGAACTCACTCCCTTGTATACACCACCCATCTCCGCCCTACTCCTTTGGGGGTGGGCAGACAAGAGAGTTTTTATTTTCTCTCTCTTAGTCTGGGTTGACAAGAGAAACAAATTCATAGACATTCTTATGTGTCTAAGAAAGAGCTTTAGATAAAAGAGCAATTGTATATCCCAGCGCAGTCCAGATCAAGTCCATAAGTCTGATATTAGCCCATTTGTCTAGTACCAGTCTGTAAATTCCTCTTCAGACTCACACAGCACATGCAATGATGCGGAGTGCAGGAAGATCACAGGCCAGTGGGTGGAAAGTCTTGTGGATCCAGTGGCAGTAGAAGCATCTTAGCAGTGGTGTGGGTCTCCACATGGCTCCTCCAGCTCCAGGGTTCTGGCTCCATCAGCATAGCTCCATATGGCTTGTCCAGAGGAATGTCTCCCAGGGAATGAGTGTGTGTCCCACCTCCAGGGAGCTATTTATCTCCTTAGCTCCTCCAAATGAGGTCATCAAGCTGCGACCTGATTGACAGGCTAAACTCCACCCCTTCACAAGTTGACCCCAGATTATGTAACGGTCTCTCTCTCACTCACTCTCTATCTCCCCCCATTGCCACTGAGTTGGTCCCATTCCAGCTCAGGTGGTCCCGCGTATGTCAGAGGAGAACTGTGTTGCTCCACAGGCTTTTCAAGGGCTGAATTTTCAGAAGCAGGTTGCCCCGACTTTCCTCCAAGGTGCCTCTGGGGAGCGTCAAACCTCCAGTCTTTTTAGCGGGGCTTCCAGACAAACGGTCACCAGGAGCATGCCAACCGATTACTGCCTGGTTCCCAGAGGTCATGCTCACAGTCCTAGGGGTGCACAGACCCCGTGGTCCTGCTTCGGGTGGTGGGATGGCAGGTCTGGCATCCTTGGCTCTGGGCCATCTGTCATTGAGCATTGAGTTTGGTGGGAAGGCCAGTCTCATCCAGGCCAGGGGAAAGCTGGTCAGAGCACACACAAGAGCAGTGCTCCATGAGCTTGTGTGATGTTCAAAGAGTGGACTGAAAATATCGTGAATGTTCTCCCACACACGTCCCCGTGTATGTAGCTAGCAATTCTGTTAAGATCATTGCAGTGATCACTCATTGAATACCTGCTGTATGGCAGGAACTGCATTCTTTCACCCACTCTTCCTATTGAACTCAGTATGATTCTCCCTATTTTATGGATGAGGAAGCTGAGGTGTCGAAGCTTGCTCAGTAATGGAATCAGACTTTTCCAAAGTCTGTGCTCATAGCAGCAGCAACCACTATTGGATTAAAATAGCATCTGGAACTGGTTCTGGTAGTGATCCCTGGCCCTGGGCCATAAGCTTTGAGTCCGTTCTACTTCTCAGTGAGCTGACAGGCAGGCTAGAATTGCTCCTGGGACTCTTTACAAGAGGACATAGACCCTTCTTTCTCCCATGGAACAGCTGGCGGATTTGAACCTCTGACCTTGTGCTTAGCAGCTCAGTGCTCAATCCACTATGCCACCTGAGCGCCTATAAAAAGACGAGGCACTTTAAAAGCCAAGCAGAACCCAGGCCCTCTCCCAGAGCGACTGAGGAGGAACGCTCACACCCTTGCTTCTGAAATTCTTGCGGGGATTTGCACGAGCAGCTGAGGTTGCGAAACCACTGTTCTTGACCGAATCTGGGCAGTGCAGAGCCGCCCGAGTTAATGATCACCACCAAGTTGCAGGTCTTTGCACACCTCTCTCTCTGGAGGAGGGACAGGCCTGTGACACCATAATCAACACTCTCTACCAATTGACAGCACTAGCCACTGGAGTCAGGCCCGAAGGGCTCCCAGGAGGAGGGCAGAGGAGCTGCCCAGGCTTGGGATCCTCCTACTTCCGACAGCGCCCACCTGGCCCTTGCCCGGTGAGGGAGGTCACTCTATTCTGCCTGGTCACACTCTGTAGATCAGCGGTTCTCAACCTTCCTCATGCGGCGACCCTTTCATACAGTCCCTCATGTGGTAGTGACCCCCCCCCCAACCATAAAATTATTTTCATTGCTGCTTCATCACTGTTATTTTGCTACTGTTATGAATCGTCATGTAAATCTCTGTTATGCAGGATGTATTTTCATTGTTACAAATTGAACATCATTAAAGCGTAGTGATTCATCACAAAAACAAAATGTAATTATATAGTGTGAAATATTTATTTCTAATGACAAATAAATGAAGTTTTGTCTTGTAGCATGGTGTAGCATGGGTAACGTCTTCACACGCGTTGTCTCAGTTCCTAAGACCATCAGAAATATGTGTTTTCCGATGGTCTTAGGCGACCCCTGGGCAATGGTCGTTCAACCCCCAAGGGGTCACGACCCACAGGTTGAGAACTGCTGCTCTAGATCCTGGGCTGTTTCTCCCTCGGGGTTTAAACAGCACTTTCGTGGCTCAAACAGCTAAGTGTTTGGCAGCTAACTGAAAACTTGGCTGATCGAGCCCATCTGGTGGCTCTGTAAACGAGCCCTGGTGGCATAGTGGGTGATACTACCTTGAGGCTACTAATCCCAAGGTTAGCAGTTTGAAACCACCTGCTGCTCCACAGGAGAAAGATGAGGCTTCCTACTCCCGGAAAGAATCACACCTTCAGAAACCCACCAGGGTAGTTTACTGCCCTGACACGGTCGCTGTGAGTCCAAATTGACTGGGTGCAGTGAGCTTGGTTTGGGGGCAGTGGCTCTGACCACCCCAAGAGTGCAGTTAGGTAAAGCATGGGGCAGTTCTACTCCCTTATGGGGTCACTAGGGGTCAGAGTCCCCTTGGTGCCACCCCGCAGCATCAACAAGGCACTTAGACATTGGAGGGAGAAGGTGGGAGGGGGGTGGGGTAGGAGGCTTGCCAAATGCCGGGTAGCAAGTTTGTATGTGCACCCAGCAGGGCTTGGGTGAAGGCGTGGGTGTTGCATGCAGAGTCTGAATGAATCTAGATGAGGCCGAGTGAGACCTCACAGTGAAATCCAGCCGGCCTTGCCATCCCCTCAGCATGGGGTGCTCTCTGCTGTCTGCTGACTCGTGCTTCCTGCTTAGCGTCTCACCTGTGCCAGGTGCCTGGGTTTACTTGATCTCCCTCCTCGCCCAGCTAACGAGCCCTGGCAGTGCCATCCGGCGGTGTTGGGCTGCTAGCCACACGGTCAGTTTTCAGGCCCACCAAGGGGGGAGGGGAGACGGAGGCGTCTGTTCCCCTGAAGATTGACCACCACACAGGCCCTCCTGTAGCTGTGCTCTGAGCCGGAGTCAACTCCGTGACATCGGGTGTTTGGTTGGGTTGGGGTTGGGTTTTGCTGTTCTCACCGTCGTTCCAATCGGGGTGAGGGGAGACAGCATGGCAAGGGAGGAGCAGGGGTGGGAACTGACTGACAGCCGACTGAGCTATGCACAGAGGCGAGGGTGTACCTGTGCCCTGTCCCCGGGCTCCCCGGTATCTGATGCCCTGGTTGACATGGGGTTCTTGATTGTGGAGTGGCCCCCACCCCACCCCTAGGGCCACTGGGGATAGAAAGGCCCCGGGGGTGGGTGGGCCTGAGGGTCCACAGGGACTCCATGGAAGCAGCAAATGACTGAGAATCTGTACAGAGAAGCGGCTGCTGCTCACACACTCTGGAACTGTGTGCTCAGTGGCTTGGCCACTGTGGGGGGCTGGTCTTGAGGTGGGGAGTTGAAGACCCAGGGAAACCCTGGAAGCAGTTTTTGAATGTGTACCCCTGCCCCCTCCTTCCCTGGAACCCTCTTTCCCCTCCTCTCTCCTGAGGGAAGGCAACGGTGTTCAGCTGCACCCTGGCACACAGTAGGACTGCCTAGGGAGAGGGGAAAATTAGTGGTGCCTGGGGTCCAGTTCTAGAAATTCTCAATTCAGTTTGGTCTCTGGTGGTCTTTTTTTTTTTCTTTTTCTTTTTCCTCCCCATCTCTTAAACTTCCAGACAGTTCTAACATCAGCCAAGGCTGAAGAGCTCACTGCAGTGTCTCCTTCCCGGAATCTTGTTGTTCTTACAAGCCTCCTGGTTGGTTCCAGTCCACGGCGACCCCGTGCACAGTAGAACGGACCCTGCCTGGCCCGGTGCCATCCTCACGATCCTCACGATCCGTCTGCTGTGCGAGGCCCTTGTTGCGGCCTCGGGGTCAGCCGCGCACACAGAGGGGCTTCCTCTCTTGCTCTGACCCTTGCCTTTGCCAAGCACGATGTCCTTCTCCAGGGACTGGCCGCGCCTGACAACACGTCCGATGTACACGAGATGAAGTCTCGCCATCCTTCCTTCTCGGGAGTGTTCTGGGTGCGTCGTCCAAGAGAGATGTAGCTGCGCTTCTGGAGTGCAGGGGAAGTCGAGGTCATGGATGGGCTCGCGCATGGCAAGGGTGGAGGCGGGCACAAGCCTGGGCAGTGTGCTGCTCTGCCCTCCATGCCCAGCAGCACCTAACAACAATGACAACAACAACAATCAGGGCTCCTACCCTCGATCCATCGTTGGGTCTCCTGGAGGAACATCGGGGTCCTGCGTTCTTTGTTCACAGAATTCTAGAGACGTGACTATTCCCACCCCGCCATCTTCCTTCTTGGGCTCTCCTTTGACAGTTAGGAGAAGGAGTTTAGCTCATGGAATCAGAAGACCTGCCTTGACCCTCCATTCTGCCAAGTGTGTTGCTGGAGCCCATCCAAGCGTTCGTTAGGACCATCGCCCTGCTAGGTAGGGTGTGGGAACTGAAGGAAGAAGGGCACATTCTTTGAAAACTGAGCTGATCTGCAAGTGTTGCTCCCATGGGGCAATGATCTCATCCACATCTGTCAGGATCCAAGGTTGTGCTGTCCAGGGAGACAGAGCTGAGGTGGGAAGGGGGACAGTGGGCGGATGGGTTTGGATCATGCTTGGCGCCTCCAGTCATCTCCTCCCCTTGAGGCCCCAGAGAGTGGGTGCTAATCCTTTTTTTCTGGCAGGAGATCAGGGTGAAGAATAAAGGTTGAAAGGCAAGTCAGTCGCCGTTGAAAGGTCTGGTTTGAACTCACTCAGAGGCAGGCACCGCAGAAGGCAGGCCGGGCAGTCTGCTTCTGGCAGGTCACCACTGGGAGGACCTGCGTGCACAGTGCGGAATCTCACACTCGCACGGGCCCCTGGAGTGGAACTCAGCCCCACGAGGGACCAGCTTTGTGCGAGCTGGTCACCCTGGTCCTCCACTGCGCCTTCCCTGGGGCTGGGTTGCTGCCTACCTTCCTTCCCAAACCCCCAACGAATGCCCTCTTCAAGATGCCGTCTTCCCACACGGGGCAATGGGGAGGCCCCAGTGTGTGTGAGACGCATGAGCCCCTGTAGTTTAGTTAATAGTTATGCTGTGAGCCCCTTCTGCCCCCTGTCTTATAAAGGGAAGGTACCTGTGGGGGTAGGGAGGGGAGGCAGTTGGTTGGGGAGAGGTTTACTGTATCACAGGCAGAGGTCGGGTGTGTGTGGCCTGAGCTGAAGACCTTCTCTCAGTCTTCTCTGGCCAAGCCCCCACCTGGACCCAGGTGCTGGCCAACTTGGCTTGCATCCTGGTGATTCGGCCCAAGGAATCCTGGAAATGCTTGTTTGTTCTTGGGCAAGGCTTCCGGGGGGGAAGGTAGGGGCAGAAAGATGACAGCAGGAAGAAGCTGGGGCTTGGGTTGGGTTTAATGCCCTGCCTGACCCCGTGTCCTCTATGCCAACCATGGTGCCCTGCTGGCAGCACACTGCATGCCACAGAGGGCTCAGGACGCTGAGCCAAGTGTGGGGCTGCGGGGGTGGGTGCTTCCCCCAGGTGGGTCGTCCTCCCTCCTGCCCACAACCTGGGAACAGGGCCCATGAGCCTCTCTCTGCTCTGCCCTCACAGGATCTATCCAGGCGGAAGCAGTCCCTGAGAGAGCAGTCTGCCCCCTTCTCCACCTTCCTCACCGACAGCTTCGGCCGCCAGCACAGCTACCTGCGAATCTCGCTCACCGAGAAGTGCAACCTCAGATGTGAGTCCCCTGCTCAGAGCCCCTCTGGGCTCCCATTATCATCATGTGTCAGCAGGCACCACGTGGGAGCTACTGGGACTCCATTGAAGCCACCTCTGGAAGCTCCCCTTGCCCAGGGGTCCTTCTGTCCTCCCGACTCCTCCTTCTGACTCCTCTCCTCGCTCCACTACCCCTGGCATGCCCAGCCAGCCAGGGCTCGGGGCCAAGAGAGGGGTCAATGTGGAATGTGCCTGCTCCAGCAGCTGGATTCCACTGGGCACTGGCTGTTGGGTATAGGAGCAGGATTGGGGCCTGGCTCTCCCATCAGGGATCTCAGGATGTAGGGTAGGCATGACAAACTTGTGACAGATACAGGCCTGCTTGTGACCAACCCTGGCCCCTGTGCCCGGCCCATGAGACAGTTGGCCAAGACCAGAACTGAGACAAAGAGTGCCCATTTCGTAATCCCCTATGGAGCACCCCAGGGTGGTAACCGTGGTTGCAGGATGCCCAGCTTCTAATCTTCCAGCCTGTCTATCTGCCTGCCTGCCTTTCTTTTTTCCTCTGGAGCTGACAATGGGAAATGTCTCATAACCCAATAAATGCGCGTACAAAGAGCCCTCAAAAAAAATTCATGGATGGAATTAAATCATGGAATTTCCTTGAAGCCCTCTCCTATATATGTGTGCCCAGAGGTGACTGCTGTTTAGTTAAATAACAGTTGCTTTTGTTACATCTGGTACGTTCTGATACATTTACCTATTTGGTTCTTTCTGTTCTGTCTCAGAAAACCCATTCTGGGCCCAGCTCACTAACTGGGTCCCATGCCCCTCAGTGGATGCATGGTAAAGGGTATTTGAGTGTAAGAGAGCCCATACGGGGGTGGTGCAGCAAGGCAAGACACTCTTCTACCTGTTGTGCTTAGGATACAGCATAGGGCAGCCACGAGTTAGCACTCATTGGATGGCACCGCTCATCGACACCAGCACCAGGAGCTAGCAGCAGCGTAGGGGACGCCTTCCCCACTTGTCCTCGTCACCTGGTTCACTCCATTCTGGCTCCTTCCCCTGAGTTCTGAGTTCTTAGTTCTCTGGCCCATAAAATAGGACAGACACTGGCTCAAGATACGAGAATGGACTGGAGCCTTGGTGGCATAGGGGATGTGCACGGGACTGCTAACTGTAAGGCTGGCACATCGAACCCAGTGGCCGTTCTGTGAGAGAAAGATGAGGCTCCCTGTTCCTCTAAAGGGTCACAGCTTCGGAAGCCCACGGGGGGCAGTTCTTCTCTGCCCTCTAGGGTGGCCAGGAGTGGGAATGGGCCCGAGGGCAGGGGGGTGGTTGGTTTCTACATGAGGGCACTAGGAGCTACAGAAAAGGGTGGGCTTCCCCGGGCCAGTAAGAAGCCCCAGCCTCTCACATGCTGGCACACACTGTGTGGTACCAGTGTGAATGCCAGGCTAGAAGGAGGATGGAGGGTGCTGAGGGACTCTGCCGGGCATGCCCCTCCCCTTGGCCAGGCTGTGCCCAGAGCCTAGTTTGTCCTTTGGAACCCATCCCCTCAGCTGAGAAATGTTGAAGACCAAGGGGAGGGGTGGGGAAGATAAGCCCAGGAGCCCCAGAGGGCTGCTACTCAGGACTAGGCGCTGCTCTCCCCTGAAGCCCAGATTGGGGGTTGGTGGGTGGGGGTGGCTCTGAGACACAGAGGAAGCTTCTGGCTTGGTGGGGGAGTTGGGGAGTCAAAAGGCCTGCCTGCTGGGCCCATTCCCCACGCACACGGCCTCTCCTGTGCCCTCAGGTCAATACTGCATGCCTGAGGAGGGGGTCCCACTGACCCCCAAAGCCGACCTGCTAACCACCGAGGAGGTCCTGGCTCTCGCCCGGCTCTTCGTGAAAGAAGGCGTGGACAAGATCCGGCTAACGGGCGGGGAGCCACTCATCCGGCCAGACGTCGTGGACATTGTGGGTGAGCTTGGGCCTCCTCTCCCTGCCCCTGTGCCCGCAGCCGGGAGCATGGCGTCGGGGATGCTGGTGAGTCCAGCATGGCCCAGATGCACCCTCAGTGCAGGCTGGTCGCAGACTTGTCTGGAGAGTTGCAGAGCCAGTGGGCAGTGCCAGGAGGGCTCTTAACCCTCCACTGGGACCAAATACGTGCACTTGCCCCATGATGCCCAGCACTGCCTCCCAGAGGGTCTCCCTGTACCACCAGACCTCTAGAGATTTGTCTCCATGTAGCGGCCAGAGTGATCCCACTAGAAGTATAGGAGTAGGCCGCCTCAGTGTTGATAACTGAAGGGAGTGTTCGCTTAGCGCTCTACCTGTCTCTTGTACACAGTTGACACCTGTCTGGGACAGGAATCGGATCCCACTAGAAGTATAGGAGTAGGCCGCCTCAGTGTTGATAACTGAAGGGAGTGTTCGCTTAGCGCTCTACCTGTCTCTTGTACACAGTTGACACCTGTCTGGGACAGGAATCGGATCCCACTAGAAGTATAGGAGTAGGCCGCCTCAGTGTTGATAACTGAAGGGAGTGTTCGCTTAGCGCTCTACCTGTCTCTTGTACACAGTTGACACCTGTCTGGGACAGGAATCGGATCCCACTAGAAGTATAGGAGTAGGCCGCCTCAGTGTTGATAACTGAAGGGAGTGTTCGCTTAGCGCTCTACCTGTCTCTTGTACACAGTTGACACCTGTCTGGGACAGGAATCGGTTATTGTTCTATTTTGATGGGGGGAAAATTGGCCATTAGGATTTAGTAACATGTGCAAGGTCACAAAGTTTGTAAGGATCAGAGTCCAATGATTGGCCATCACATGCCAGCCAAAGTCCTCCCACCCCCACCCCCATCCCACCAGGGAAGGCCCATGTGCCCTGGCTCCTGCTTGCCTCTGTGCCGCTCCAGCTCCCCTCCCCTTGGCCACACCACAGGGCCTTTGCCCTTTCTGTCCCCTTTGCCAGGAGCACTACAGGCCTGGCCTCTGCTCAGAAGCTGTCTGCTCCACATGCATGCCCAGCCACTGCCCAGCCCAGGGGTGGACACACGATAGCCCGCAGGCTGGAACCGGCCCACTGCTGTTAGGGTGGCTCTGCTTTATTCTTATGTTTTTATAACTACATTTATCATGTTCAGGTTACTGGCTTGGCCTGTCACTTTAATTTTTTTACCCCCATCAGTTTATGCTTTTCAGGGTTGGGGTTTGCTGTTTCTCACCTTGGTGCCAGAGCAGTGAGTTAACACTCTCTGGGCATATCAGCTATTCTTTCGACACTGTTTGCCAGAAAAAGGTCTCAGGTCAGATCCTAGTTTCTGACAGGCCCGGGGAGGGCGAGGAAAGGAGAAGACACGAGCTTTGGGCTCCAGGATAGAGCAGTTATTCTCTTAGGCCTGTCAGTGAACAGCGAGCAGCATTGCCCCGTGAGACTGTCCACGCTGTGCCCTGCAGGTCTCCAGGGGGTGTTCTACCCGCAGATGGTGATGACAAAAGTGACTCCGCTAGAGTCAAACTAGTTGGAAGCCCGGCAGGTCTGTGCCTTCAGACCTCAGGGAGAAGCAGGGAAGGCTACAGACTCCCTGGATTTTCATCCCTCGGGCTCAGGGCCCTGTAGAGGGACAGTGGAGGACAGGAGACCCCGCTAGGCCGGTCGGGCCCTCGCTGTTGCCTCTCTTGTCCAGCAGAGCTTTGGCAGCTTCCCTCAGTGGATTCGTAAACCAGTCCCTGGGCTTTCGCCACCAGGTCCTTCAGGAAGGGCACAGACAGTGAGAGTCCCGAGACACTCGTGGGTGTGGACACGGACCCTTTCTTTATGAGGTCACACGCCCTGCCTGTCCCCTCTGCCCCAGCCTGCCACGCCTTCCCTCAGACCAGTCCAGAACCGCCAGCCCTCGTCCCAGGAGCTGCCCGAAGGTTGGGCAAGTTCCCGGATGCCCTGTTTCCCTCGAGCGTGCTTCCCCAAGGCTGGAAGCCGGCCCCCACGCCTCATCCCCTTCGCTGGCAGAGCCACCTGGAGCTGCTGCTCTTTCTTTTAAAAAGGACACCGGAAAACACCTTCAAACTTCTATTTGGGTGGGCACCGCAAAAGCCATCAGCGTTTGTATCAGCTGAGCGATGAGAGCATGGCTACTGCCTGCCGGTTGTCACCGTCGGCCTTCTGGACCACCCAGGCCCGGCCCTCCTCACAGCCAGTCAGGTGTCGGAGCCCTCCTTGCGGCCACTGTGTGCCTCCATCCCGTCCCAGGGCCTGCCTCGTTGGTATTGCTCCTCCGCGCTTCCCAGCAGGTGGTCCTCTTCCCAGGGCTCCTGATACCATGTCCAAAGTCCTCCTCTCTGCGGAGCCTTCTGCTGTACTTCTTACAAGGCGTCTGTTCGTCTGGCCATCTGTGGTCCTTTCAGTACCCTTCACCAGCACCGCCACTCAAATGCTTCCGTTCTTCTTCGGCCTTCCTTATCCACCGTCCACTTCCACGTACACCTGCGACGAGTGAAAATACCATGGCTCGGGTCAGGCCTTAGTCCTCAGCCTGACCTCCCTGCTCTTGAGCACTTTGAAGAGACCTTGGGCAGCTGATTTCCCCAGTGGAATGCACGGTCCGATTTCTGGACTGCTGCTTCCATGAATGTTGACTGGGATCTGAGTTCGGATGAGCGCCTCCCTGTATCCTAATACATTATCTCACAGACTCATTTTTTAAAAAATCTTAATCATATTGGATCAGCTAGAAGAACAAAAGCAAAGCATCCTCTCATCATGGTTCGACTCCAGGCTGCTTGGATTAGCCCCGTTTCCCTGGCCCAGGAGGAGCTCTGGCGGCGTAGTAGTTGTGCGTTGAGCTGCTAACCGCAAGTCAGCAGTTCCAAACCACCGGCTGCTCCCGGGGAGGAAGACGGAGCTTTCTACTCCCGTGAGGGGTTACGGTCTTGGAAACTCCAAGGGCAGTTCTCTCCTGTCCTGCAGGGTTGCTATGAGGTGGCATCAACTCCATAGCAGCCAGTTTGGTTTGGGGTTTGAAGCGGCCGGTTTAGCACTAGACTTGAGGGCCCACGTGGTCCAGAGCACAGTCCTGGAGCCTCGTGTAGATGGGTTTGAATCCCGGCTCTTCTTTTCACGTCATTGCCAGGCGACGTGGATTCCATTCCAACTCATGCGACGCCATGAGAGTCAGACTGGAACGGTGCTCCATGCAGCTTTCCGTTTCAGAAGCAGGTCGCTGGGGCTTCCTTCCAACTCTCCTTTGGGTGGATTTGAACCTGTAACCTAGTTAGCAGCTTGAGCACATGAACCATCTGGACTACTTACTGGCTTTAGCCCTGGCTAGCTATGTAACGTTGAGCAGTTTTCTTAATCTCTCCAAGCCACCCTCTGCTTATCTATATTAAGTGGGGCTGATCTTTTGTGTGAGGCTCAGCCAGCAAGGTGTACAGAACCCTCAGCTGAGTGTCTAACAGGGCGAGCACACTCAGGGTTCAATGCGCAGCTTGCTTTGTCCTCGGCTCAGGTCTCACCGAGCCAAGTCTGCAGAGAGCCACCCAGCCACTCCTCCTGTTCCCCCTTCCCGCCATCCTCCCGCCTTCCCCAAGGAGGGGTGGTCTGACCACCCCTGCTGTTTCTCCCCGCAGCCCAGCTCCACCGGCTGGAAGGGCTGAGGACCATCGGCGTCACCACCAACGGCATCAACCTCGCCCGGCTGCTGCCTCCGCTTCAGAAAGCGGGCCTCAACGCCATCAACATCAGCCTGGACACCCTGGTGCCAGCCAAATTTGAGTTCATCGTCCGCAGGCGAGGTGATCAGATGCAGCCAGCGGTGGAGGGTGTCCACCCCAGGACCCGCTGGAGCTGGGGAGAGTGAATGGTGTGAGGCGCACCCCCTGGCTCTCTGGGCTGAATGAGGATGTAGTCTGACCGACAGTTGTTCTCATTCAGCCCGGGAGCCAAGTGTGGCTCCTACCAATGACTCTTTGCAATCAGTTTGGTGAAAGGGAGCGGTAACTTTGAACTTCACTTGGGCAAAATGCGTCCTCCACCACGCCTTCCAAGCATTCTCTCTCTTATAGACCTCATATGCACTATGAAAAGTTGTTCTTCCTGTGGTGTGAATTTTGTCAAGGACATGTTGATAGACACTTACATAATCGTTTCCTCCTTTAAGGAAATGCTTGCTGACTCTCGGGCTAATAGGAATTGCCTAGGCTGCTCGGAGCTGTGGGTGTTTTCCGTGTGTGTGTGTAGGTGTAGGGATGGAGGTGGGTGAGAGGACCTTCCTGGACCTCACTCTGTCTTCCTCACCACAGGCTTCCACAAGGTCATGGAGGGCATCCACAAGGCCATCGAGCTGGGTTACAGCCCTGTGAAGGTGAGTCCCCCCCCCCCCCCCAGGCTCACACTGCTCACTCGGACTTCCTGCCCTTCCTGCCCAGCTCCTGGCCCCGCCGACAGCTCCCACCCTGGCCAGACAGCTGAAATGCACCCCACCCCCACCCCCACTACCACCACTTCCTTGCCAGTGGCGCCCAGTCTTGCCCCCCCATGAGGGAGGAGAGAAAAATCAGTGACCCCCATGGAAACCCCCAGCTGAAGGAGACCTGGGTGGAGTCAGGGAGTGGGGTCCCCGGTGGAGAGCCCAAGCCTGTGCCGGGCCTGTGCCACTGACCGTGTGCACAGAAGTACCATGGCTCCCTGTCGTCCGGCCAGGTGAACTGTGTGGTGATGCGGGGCCTCAACGAGGACGAGCTCCTGGACTTTGTGGCCTTGACGGAGGGGCTCCCCCTGGACATTCGCTTCATAGAGTACATGCCCTTTGATGGTCAGTAGTTGGACATTCGCTTCATAGAGTACATGCCCTTTGATGGTCAGTGGTGTGGCTTGTGGAGCAGGCTGGGCCCATGGGCATATCCATGCCAAGGGCTTGGTGGGGCGAATGCCTCGTGCCCTCAGTGCGTACTGGGGTGGTGGGAAAGGCTGGGGGGGAGGCTGCTGACTCAGGAGTCCAGCGGTGTGTGTAGAGGCATTGCTCCTGGGCTGCTGGCAGGGGAGGACTGGACGGACTCTGTTTCTAGGGCTCTGCTGGGACACCGGTGGTTCCTGAGTCAGCATGGGTGAGGTCTGATGCACCCGTTTTAGGCAGGGACCTCCGGGCCACCCACAGGACAGGTCGGGGAGCCATTCCTGAGCCCTGCAGGAGTATGGCCTTGACGCCGGGCAAGGCCCCTGCCGCTCTGTGACTCAGTCTTTCCTCCTGCCAACTTGCCACCCCACGTACAGGCAACAGGTGGAACTTCAAGAAGATGGTCAGCTACAAGGAGATGCTGGACACGGTCCAGCAGCGGTGGCCAGAGCTGGAGAAGCTTCCAGAGGAGGAGTCCAGCACAGCCAAGGTTTGGGAGGGGAGGAAGGAGGCTGGCGAGGGAGGCAGGGCGGTGAGGTCAGAAGGCTATGGTGCATTGCGGGATGGCATTTCAGTGCCCTGCCAACCACCCCCGTGTCTGATGGTTCGAGGGGCAGACATGGCAGAGTTAAGTCCCTCATCAGTGGCCGTTCCTAGTACCTGGCAGGGGGGAGTACCACCCCCCACCCCGGCTTCCTTAGGCCATCTCTGAACATGCTGCCCACGCGTCCTGTCCCCTTCAGTTTTCCCCCAAGAGCAGACCAGGCACAAGCAGATGCCAGGCCCGCTTCAGAAAGCTCATGCGCGTGCCTCTGTGCCCACGGTCTTTTGTGGTCTGCAGGCCCTTAGGCACCAGCTCCCTTTGGGCTCTGAGGGGCAAGGGAACTGGAGTCAGGGCTCCGGTGACAGGAGCCGAGAGCTCCGGCCCGGGAGCCCATCTCTGACCCTCCCTCCCGTCCAGGCCTTTAAGATCCCGGGCTTCCAAGGCCAGATCAGCTTCATCACATCCATGTCGGAGCACTTCTGTGGGACCTGCAACAGGCTGCGGATCACAGCAGATGGGAACCTCAAGGCGAGTGTCCCCCATCCACACAGTGAGCCCCCTCCTCCACAAGGCCCCACATTGCCTTTGCTCTGGAGATCGCCCCGTACCTGTGCTCCTGATTGGCGAGGGTACTAACTGGCCCAAAGGTAGTTGGTGAAATAAGATCAGATTCGGCGGGTGGGTGGGTGGGTGGGGAGGCATGTGTGTGTGTGTGTGTGTGTGTGTGTGTGTGATGCCCGGTAGGAGTGGCAGGCGAGAGTGAACTCATGACACCTGTGGAACTCTTCACCCCAACTTTCTTGACTCTCATTCTTGGGTTCCCTAAAGTGGCTTCTGGTTGGGGATACCAGAGGGGATTGGGGAGAGACTGTCAGAGAGGACTGGGGAAGGACAGTGCATCAAGGGGGCACTGGCTCAGGTGGCCCCTCCCAGTAGGCCCAGGCCTCAGCTCTGGAAGCAGCAACCATTCCTGACTTCCCTCAAAGCTTAACAAGCATGGTGTGTGTGTGTGTGTGTGTGTGTTCGTGCACACTCAGCCCTGGGTGGGGGTGGGAGTGGGTAGGGGGTGGTGGGGAAGATGAGAGGCCCAGAGACATGGCCTTTCTGAGATAAGGTACGACAGCGTAGCACGTGCTTCTGGGTCCCCTGAGTGGGCCTGGAGGAGGAACTCTGCTGACCTTGGCGAGCCTCGGAAAATGGGCCAAGTGCAAACAAGGGGTGGGAAAGATCCCGTACTTGGGTCCCAGATTCATTCAGCAAAGGGAGAAGTGGGCTGGCTGAGGGAAAGATTGTGATCTGTGGACATTATGGCTCTGGGAAGGCTTTTGAGCCTCCGTCCGGGCCTTAAGAAATAACCTGCAGGGTGGCTTTGGAGCGAGAGGCTTATGACCTTCGCCGGCCACCTGGCGGTGCTCCGGACAGGGAGGAGTGTGAGGGGAGGGCTGACAGGGAAGATCGCTGCTGATGGGTGTGGACAGAGAAAGGAAGGTGCCCAAGTGGCCTTGGCCCTGGTTGGCCTTGGTCTGGGCAGGGTTGGGAGGGTGTCGGTGGGTTGCATTTAAGTGCATCAAGTTATACATCCAAATGGAACCGCTAGGCTGGTTGTTGAAAAGGCAAGGGACCCTCCCCTCCCCTTCTACCACCCACCATGGGCTGGAGATGTACTGATTGACCTGGGCTATAGGTGGTATCTAGGAGTCCTAGTGGTGCTGTGTTGCTAACCAAAAGGTCCATGGTTCTAACCCACCAGACTCTGCACAAGAAAGATGAGGCAGATGACTCCCATAAAGTTATGTGGCCTTGGAAACCCCGGGGAGCCATTCTGTTAGGTCCTACAGGGTCTCTATGAGTTAGCACAACTCCACGACAGTGGGTCGGGTTGGGTATCTATACCAGTCAAGGTCCCACCGGGAAGTGGGGCATGGGCTTCTGAAGAGGATCTAATGAGGGGCTGTTTCTAGTGCAGGGTGAAGGTCATCATTAGGCATGTTGTGACATGAGGGACAGGCAGTAGCAGAAAGCTGTGCTCTTTTTTGCTGGAAGAGCAAGGGGGAGGAAATGGTGCCCCTGGAACCCATGCGAACGGGAGGAGAGGCCCCCCGGCTGGAGCTAGAGCCGTCGATGCCAATCAGGAAGGGAAGCAAGAAGAAATACCCCAGCCTAACTTTCCTCTCACCCTTTGACCTCCCATTGGCCAAAGGCAAGCAGAAACCGGCGGGAAGGGAGCCTACAAGGGACTGCCCACAGCAGGTGGCCTTCTTGCTAAGAGTAGAGAACGGAACCTGTTCTGGTGGAGGAAGTGAGGAGGGGCCACAGCCAGTGCAGTGCACTCCTCAGCCCTTCAGACCCACAGTTCATTGGTGTCGTAGCCTCCTGGGTGGGCTCTGACCTCTGGGGCCTCCCTCCCTGTATCCACAACACCTCGCCCAGAACTGGCACATCGTAGGTGCGTTCGAAGATTTTGCGGAAGGGTGGTGCTCTAACTCCAAACTTCCTCCCATCCAGCTGATTCCAACTTAACAGCAGCCCTAGAGGATAGAGGGTCTGCCCCCACAGTAGAAGGGCCCTCGGGGTTCCAAGGCTGTCAGTCTTCTCAGGAATGGGAAGCTGCTGCTTTCTCCCGAGAAAGCCAATGCATAATCCAGCACACCACCGGGATTCCTGCGAGGAGGGTCTCACGTCAGCTCAGCTCAGGCCAACTCATTGTCACCCTGTCGGCCAGAGCAGGGCTGCCCCTGTCGGTCTCGGAGCCTATACATCTTTATGAGAGCAAAAAGGATCATCTTTCTCCCTTGGAGTGGCTGGTGGTTCAAACGGTGGACCTTGTGGTTAGAACCCACTTTGCCACCAGGATTCCTGGAAGGAGGGGAGGGTAGGTGCCTTGATGTCTGGAAGTAGACCATCCATCCCCAGGCCTCCATAACATCCCATCCAGGTGCTCCCAGAAAGCTTGTTCCACCACATTTGGATGAACTCGGATGCCATCTTCACCAGCCCTCTGTAGTTAAGCAACCATTCGGGACACCCCAACCTCAAATAAGTGCCAGAGCAGTCAGAGTAAGGGACCCTGAGGGAAAAGAGGAGAAACGCATTGTGCCTGCCACCTCTCGAGGGGATGGCCAGGACTCAGCTTCAACCACTTGGGGTCCATTCCTGTGGCAATCAAGGGGCCATCCCCTTGGGTGGTCACAGAGCAGGGGCTGTGCTGCGTTTTTGTGTGCGATGTCTGTTGACACCTAGTGGAACAAGGCACATAAACGCCTCGGGATGCCCACTCTACCTCGAGCCCTTCCAGCCTCTCTGACCGCTCTACCCACCTTCTGTCCTCCAGTGACCAGGGAGCCGGGCCTTAAGTATGAACCGGACGTAGGCAGGCTGGGGGGCTGGCTCTACTCTACATGTGGGGATCAGCTGCTCAGAGGCTGGGGGCTCGTGATGGAGACGTGGTTGTCCTCATCCCCGTGGTCCCCCTACAGGTCTGCCTTTTTGGGAGTTCCGAAGTATCGCTCCGGGATCTCCTGCGCACAGGGGCCACCGAGGAGGAGCTGCTGAGAATCATAGGGGCAGCCGTGGGCAGGAAGAAGCGGCAGCACGCAGGTAAGGGGCAGGGGTGGGGGAGACTGGGCTGGGCCCAGAGTGAGCCTTGTTTAACGCAGGAGGGCAGGCCGTGGCTGGTGGGAGGGGAAGAGATCAAAGGAAGGCCCTGTCCGGAGCTGGTGGGAACACAGTGTGGTCCTGTGGGCCCTCTAGAGTGGGGTGCACTCCTGGGTCTCCTTCCTTGGGGACACTGGCATAGCACAGACCGCCAGGATGGGGGAGCTGTTTTTTGGGAGTTGGGGGATGGGGAAGGGTGCCTTTGCCTGTCTCATTCCCCAACCTGCCTTCTTCCTAGGGAGGGCTGGGTCCCGGGCATCCAGACTTCTCTGGTCTCTCCCGTGGACACCCATGCAGTGAGCATGTGGGGATATGTTGGCACGCATACTGGAGGTTATCCCCCTCCTTAATGTCCTTCTGTTCGCTTCGGTGAACTCTCCCCCCACCCTCTCTTCCCTTCCCCATCTCCCCCTTATCCCAGGCATGTTCAATATTTCCCAGATGAAGAACCGGCCCATGATCCTCATCGGTGGGTGACCCATCAGTACGTAACCACTCACCCTTGCCCTCGGGGGTCCTGAGGGTGGGGTTCCCTGCTGAGATGCACTCCCAGCTCCTGCGTCCCCTTCAGATACCCTCCGCCCTAGCCTTCCTCCTCATCCTCCTGCATCCTCTCGTAACCCCTTCAAGCCTCTGGTGTTGCTTCTCGTTCTTGTCCACCATTGCTCCTCACTCTGCATGTCACAGCAGTGACCCTGCAGTCTCACCTGGAGTGGGAGGGAGGCAGGGCTCCAGATTTCAAGGTCACTATAAGGTTCGTTATCAGGAGAGACCAGTCCCTGGAGGAGGGCATCCTGCTTGGTCAAGCCGAGGGGCAGCAGCAAAGAGGAAGTCCCTCCGTGAGGTGAACCGACTGACTAGGCACACTGGGTGCAGGACCCGACAGTGTTTCGCTCTGACGTACACGGGGTGACATGGAGTCAGGCCAACTGGACAGCAACTCACAACAGCAGCAAGGCTAAAGTTGACGTCCTGGTTCAAACGGAGCCCTCTCCTGCTCCTGTGGAGTGACAGCCCTGTCTGTCGTCACCGAGCGGGTGTCTGGACCATTGGAGCCACCACCGATGGAGGGATTGTGGTTCTTCCGTGCCAGGCAGAGCACAAGGCAGCTAGTGACAGGGGCGGCACTCACCTTTTCAACAAGTAGATCGTCAGGCCTGAAACTCCCCACCTCCTTGACCCTCGGGGCTCATGCGGACCTGGCTTGTGTTCACGGGATGCTGCAAGATAATAACTCCTCTTTCTTAGAGCCAGTGTAGTCTCCTACCGCAAGGAACTGGCCCACTCTGAGCTCTCAGGCATCCGTTCCTCCCCTGGCGTACTGCCCGGGTGAGAGACAAGGCCGCCCCCCTTGACTGCACTCAGATCGGAGCCCTCGGAATTTTCCCAGTAGGCATGAGACAGCAGTGAGAAAACTTGAGAACAAAGGATTCTTCTTTCGAGACATGGGAGCCCAGTAAGCCCTGTCCCCCAGAGGGAGCAGGTAGAGGGAGCCCGAGACAGCTCCTGGACCCCCGTACACGCCAGCCACCCAGGGACAGCAGCTCTTATCATCTCTCCTCTCCCATCTCCGGTACCACAGGTCACCCTACTGGGCTGCAACCTCCATGGGCACACCTTCCTGGCAGGAACAAGGCTGGGAGCCCAGAGGATGGGGAAGGGGCAGGAATTTGGGGGAGACGTCCGGCACCCTTGGCAGTGTTATTGCTGTCAGGGATTTAGAGCGACTGTGGCCTAGCTTGGTGCATCTCAGACTTCCCTGTGTGTCTGAGCTGTCTGGGAAGCTTGTGGTGATTCTGAGGTCGGCGCTGGGAGCCTGCACCTCTAGTGAGTTGGTGCTGCGGGTCCAGTCCGAGGAGCCTTTGACTTGCAGGCTTGCTGAGGGAGCCGGCTTCCGGGAGGCCCCCCGGGTCATAGGAACTGGTCTGTGTACACTTATGATCTGTGTGAGGTGACCTCCAGGTGCCCTTCCCTCCGCCTTCTGTCCAGAAACGAAAAGATCTGTGTGAGCTCTTGGTGTGGAAGGTAAAGATGGGAGCCAGCATCACTGGTGTTGGTCCAGGCTGAGACTTGGCTGTAGTTTGCCTTTAGGAACAGAAGGACCATGGAGAAGTCGCCCTTCCAGACAGCAGTGTCCAGCCCTTAGATGTCTGGAAATACCAGTGTGTTGTGCAGATGGGGGCCCAGGAGTAGCCCACACCACCAGCGTGGTGAGGGCGTCAGAACCCCGTGGGGCGTGGCCCTGTGCATGGGGGGTTGGGAAGGACTTGAAGCTGACATTGCGGGGCCCCTGTCTCTGTGCAGCTTCTAGTTTGCTTCCTCTCCCTGTATCGTGTACCCCTCCTTCCTATCCACGCAGGGTGAGAGAGCTCCAGGTGGTCTGGGAAAGGGGTTGGGAGACAAGGTGGGTCAAAGAGGCCCCTCTTGGGCTTAGTCTTTCTCCCCTGCCCCTCCTGCCTTCCAGAGTCCCAGCGGATGCACCTGGATTCCCCACCAGCCATTCCCAGCGTTTCTTCCTGGGACTTGCTCCGTGTGTACAACCCAAGACCCGGAGTGAGTTTCTCCAGCCAGACGACAACTTTATGGAAAGGACACAGGGTCCCCCAAATCCCTCTCCTAGCCCAGCAGTGGCTGCAATCTGGCCCCCCTCAGAGACACTACAGCGCCCTCTTAGACTCGGACACCAATCCCAAGTGCCTTAACCCTGGGGCCCGGGCTCCTGCCACCCCCCCGGAGCCCCAGCCACCCTCCGGCCAACTAACCCACGTGGACTCGGAAGGACGGGCAGCTATGGTAGATGTGGGCAGGAAGCCAGACACAGAGCGGGTGGCCGTGGCCTCAGCCGTGGTCCTCCTGGGGCCCGTGGCCTTCCGGCTCGTCCAGGAGAACCAGCTGAAGAAGGGAGATGCCCTGGTGGTCGCCCAGCTGGCTGGAGTCCAGGCAGCCAAACTGACCAGCCAGCTGATTCCCCTGTGTCACCACGTGTCACTGAGCCACGTCCAGGTGCAGCTGGAGCTGGACAGCACACGCCACGCTGTGGTGATCCAGGCGTCTTGCCGGGCCCGCGGCCCTACCGGGGTAGAGATGGAGGCCCTGACCTCGGCCTCGGTGGCCGCCCTTACCGTGTATGACATGTGCAAGGCTGTGAGCAGGGACATCGTGCTGGGTGAGATCCAGCTCATTCGCAAGACCGGGGGCCAGCGGGGGGACTTCCATCGGGCTTAGAACCCGGTGTGCATACCCCACCCGCCAGCAGTCCAGCCGGGTAGGGTGCAGGTCCAGGGACTAGATGTCGGGTCCCGTTGGCCCGGTCCCCAAGAGGGACCTTAGGTTAGCGCCCCACACTCTTCCACTGCAGGGAGGCCTAGAATGCAGTGGCCTGGGAGGTGGTGTCCTTCTCCAGGCAGGAAAGCAGCCCGTCCCTCCAACCCCCAGGACCGCTGTGGCCTGGGCCGGACCTGCCAGGGCTCACCTGTAGGGCACTGGAAACCACGGTGTGGTCTCTGCCTGCTTCCCTCCCGGCATTGCAGACCACGCCATAGCTCCCTCTTCTCATAGTGGTTCCTTTTCCAGTCTCCCCGGCGGGGAGGAAGGCGAGGCTGGTTGCCCAGTGGGGCTCCCTTTGAGAAAAGAGAGCCCCCCTGGCCTGGATAGAGAATGGTCATATCCAGACTTCTCTTCTGCAACTGGGCCTTCCCATGGGTGACAGCACCTGAGGGGAGCAGAGCCACCCGGTCCCGCTGCCTCCCCACCCTGCTCCTCTGAGATGGCTAATGTGCCTGCCCACCTGTAGTCTGATCCATCCAGCATCCGGGCTTCCAGCTTAACAGTTAGTTACAGTGCCCTGCCAGCTCCCACTCCTCTTAAAGGGTCCTGCACACGGGCCAAAGCCCCAAGGACGGCTGAGCACCCATGTGCCCTGCACGCTGCCAGTCTGCCCATCACAGGGGGAGGAGCATGTATTAGCTCGCCTTCGCCCTTGCAGTGTGGCGGCCAGTTTGGGAGATGCAAGGCCCAGGAGATTCTGTGTGGGGAGGGCACTGAGCTACTAGGACATTGTGCCCAGTCATCGGCCCCTCCTGGAGACTGACCCCCCTCTCGGGGAGGAGAGGAAGGCAGAGACCGTGGGAAGTCCTGTTCTCCCCCTGTGCTGGGGGAGACCGTGGACCTGGGGGAGGGAGGCACAGGTGGGTGCCATCTATCGTAAAGGTGCTGCCAGACAGCCATGACCAAGACTTCTGTGACTTTCTGGAAGCAGATCATAAGAATCTTCCACCGAGGCAGCTCTGGGAGGGTTAGAACCACCCACCTGTCTGTGAGCCAGCAGCCCAAACCTTCTGCCGCCATCCAGGAGGGGTCCGGGGATGAGCAGAGAGAGGCTCCTGGTGGTCACATGACCCTCTGGGTCCTCCCCCCAAAGATGGGTTTCTGTGGGCCTGTCTGCAGAGGCTCCTGGACTTTTCCCCCCGACTGCCAAGAGGCGCTGGTGACCATTTGGCAGGTGGGGGTATTAGGTGCCATAGACTCTGTTCCCACCCACAGCCACCCTAGGCACCCAGAAAGAATCGCTGCCCGGTCCTGCCCCATCCTCACGGTTGTTCCTGTGCCCGAGCCCACGGTCGCAGCCACCGTGTCCATCCACCTCATTGAGGGCCATCCTCTGTCTCGCTGCCCCTCGGCTTGACCAAGCGTGATGTCCAGACACTCGTGGGGTGGGGTGGGCAGTCCTCCCCTGTCCTACAGGTCACGACAGGCTGAAATCGACGCGACGGCAGAGACTTGAGAGACTTAGCAGGCGGTCTCCACAAACAGAGCGTCCATCTCCAGATCTAACGAGGCCCACCTCGGCTGGCTTTAAATCACCAATCTGGACGTCAGCTCACTTGCGAGATTCTTTTAATAGTGACCCTCAGCTCTCACGAAACTGGAACAAGTTGTCTCCAGCCCACCCCACCCTCTGGCCCCAAGACCCCTCCTGAAGAAAAAGGCACAAGTCCCAGGGCAGACTGGATAGGGGTGGTATGGGTTTAATATATTTTAGTATTACCATATATTCTTATTTTTTAAAAAAAGGTGCAGATAAAAAGGACACAGATTTTGTACATGAGACTCGTCTGTCATCTGAGATCGCTGGTGAGGATAGCGTGGGCATGAAGGCCTCCTGGGTAAGAGGTGGGGGAGGGGGCCACAATGCCCCATTTGGTAGAAATGGGAAAGGCTGGCCCAGACCCCTCCCCACTGCATGTCCACCCCAAAGGAGAAGGGGCGGGGCTGCATTAGGTGGACTAGGAATTCACACCAGACACAAAATTAGACAGTGGGTAAGACCTACCCCCAAGGTGGCAGGTGGTGCGGAAAGGGGCCCGTGAGAGTGGGGCTTTGGGACACATGTCAGAGACCTCCACGTTTGGCAGAGCAAGGACCAGCTCAGCTGCCCCTACGGGGCGCCAGCCCCTTCTTGCCGACATAACCATAATGGCCCATGACCCAAGGCACTGTTGGCTCTGGCTACAAAAGCCGCTGGCTCCAGAGCCCTTGGCCAGAGCTAGAGGACAATAAATAGAGAAGGAGAAGTCGTGTGGGGTGGGGAGCCTGGCCCCTGGAATCCGGTATTCGCCCTCTGTAAACAGCTCAAACTGCTGTCCTGCAGCTTGAATGTGTCACCAACAGCTTCTGCATCCTCCGTCCTT